AGTGGGGGGAAGGGGGAGGGGGGAAGGAGGAAGAGGGGGGATAAAGAGAGGAAAGGAGGGGGAGAGAGAAAGGGAGGGAGTGGGAGGGAGAGAAAGAGACAGAAACTCCAAGCAGGCTCCATGCTCAGAGCCTGACACAGGGCTCAAACCCACCAACCAGGAGATCATAACCTGAGCCAAGATCAGGAATTGGACACTCAACCAACTGAGCCACCCAGGTGCCCCTCAACTCCTTTAACTATAATCCATGCAGGGCCTTTCCAACCACAAGAAAAACCACAAAGAAGTCTATTCAGAATAGTCATGTTTGATATTACGGGATATGAAATTTTCTAACTGTATTTATGGCAGAGAAAAAGTACCAGAACTAAGTTCTATTCCTCACCCCTCCAGAAACTAAGAATTTAAGAGAAATTTATGCAAACCAAAGTAACTTCTTCCAACATCCATGATCCTAGAAGGCCACAACATGTGCAGTTCAGTCTTTACAGATCATGTTCTATTTTAAATCTAGCACAATAAAACAAAACAGCTGGTTCCAGCCGCTTCGGCAAACAACGGCTCTTTCAGCTTAATTTCTACTGATGCTGGTAACCTTACACAGCACATCTCCCCTGCAGTTACTGAAAGGACACTGTGGACTCCAACAAAAGGAACACGCACGCAGAGAACTACCATGTAGCCAAACAAAAAGTTAACAATTACAGTGCCGGGAAAAAACAAAACTCACTTTACAGACTGAATTATGAAACCTAACTCATTCAAAATAGGCAGCCAGGAACATACATCTGCTATCGCGATGACGTGAAGGGTACCTATAAGTTCTTACTCCAAAGCATGGGCAGTTCTGTGCAGGCATTCCCAAGATTCACACTCAGACTTTAAGCACAACAAACAATCCTACGATTGCAAACAAAGCCTGTACAACTTCAGATCAGTACACTGAATCAATCCTTCAAAAATATACTGAAGCACAAAACAGATTAACCTGTAAGCATGGCAGCTTTTAAGACGTCAACGTGCATAGGAAGCAGGACAGAGGTTACAGGTTAAGACGCCAGATGAAACGTGGTGAAAAGGGCCAACCACAATCCCGTCTCAAGTTACCAACTTACACTTGGGAAGCAGCGTCTGACTGGCGGGCAGAGCGGGGCCCCTCACTGCCCAGAGACCTCAGGAGGGCACACAGGCAGCGCATCCTGCCCGGCCAGGCGCCCACAGGCCCGAGGCTGGCCCTCCCAGAACAGGCCTTGTTCCCCCCACCCCGTGACACACCGTGGGGAGGTGGCACAGAGCTTGCCCCGTCATCGTGGGGACAGGCGGCACCGACATTCCAGTGGGGACGCAAAGGGTCACTGCCGTAATAGCACACGAGAGGGATAAACAGCACCTACGCGCAGGCGTCTCCCTTCAAAGTCTGAACGTTTTTGGAAACTAACAGTCTGAATCACTTTAAATGTGGCCTTCCGGACTCACTTCTACAGGGGAAAATATTTACCATCAGCCCCAACACTGTCCACCCTACCCACACTCTCTATACTCCCAGCCTGAACCACACCCCCCAAAAGGGAGGGAGAATGACAATTTTACCCGAACATCCTGTTTGCTTTCTATAGATCTCCTCCACTGCCACATCACTAATTCCTAATCCCTAATTGTGATTCTCACAAACGCAAAGGTAATCCTTGCATTTAACTTCTGTGGACATCCTAATTCCCAGGAGGAGGTGGCAGAACACTCACGGGCACACAGGCTTCGTGGTTTTAGGAAGGTATACACCCACACAGCCACCCCCCCGGCACAAAGGCAAGGAGGCAGACTTAACAGGAGAGCGTGCCACAGTCCTTCGGGGTTCCCTTCTGTGAACCCTGTACATCCTGACCTCCCTTTCTTTGGCCCCCAGCAGAGGTGTACTCCTTCGTTTTAGTGCACACGGAGACCCTGCGGTATCTGAGCACGCCCAGAAAGTCAACACACAGGGTCCTCCACAGGGGTGCAGATGGGACCACAATTAGCATTCATGCTGGAGCACTCACCTCGCTCACCCGGATCCGGTCTACACGTTTTGCTTACTGCTTACAATAACCCTACCAATCGGCACTCACAGAAGGGATCTAAAACCCAGGGAAAGCAGGGGACTTACCCATAGCTCACCAGCTGAGTTTGAGGCAGGGCTCAAACCAGGCCAAAACAAGCCAGAGGCCCTCCCTCCACTGCCACCGAACCAGCCACACTCACAGGATGGTACGCTTGAGCCTCAGCTCAGTTTACAAAGAGCCCAGCCATGTCTGCTTACCAACAGTCCTTAAGTTTTAAGTTGAAATACTTCATTAACTATTTAACTATAACTGGGGCGCCTGCGTAGCTCAGTCAGTTAAGCATCTGACTCATGATTTTGGCTCAGGTCATCATCTCACGGTTGTGGGTTTGAGTCCCACCTCGGGCTGTGACTCCGACAGTACAGAGTCAGCTTGGGATCCTCTCTCCCTGCCCCTTCCCCACTTGCACTGTACCTCTCTCAAAACTAAATCAACTTAAAAAATATATACTTGGGGCACCTGGGTGGCTCAGTCGGTTAAGTGCCCGACTTCGGCTCAGGTCATGATCTTGTGGTTTGTGAGTTTGAGCCCCTCGTTGGGCTCTATGCTGACAGCTCACAGCTTGGGGCCTGCTTCAGATTCTGTGTCTCCCTCTCTCTGCCCCGCCCATGCTCATGCTCTATCCCTCAATAACAAACATTAAAAAAACTTTTAACTAAAATTAAAGTTACATATGTATGTATGTATATATATACATACACACACACACACACTTAACTAGGGACACGTGGGTGGCTCAGTCGGTTGAGCAACCGATTTCAGCTCAGGTCACGATCTTACCAGTTGTGAGTTTGAGCCCTGCGTCAGGCTCTGTGCTGACAGCTGGCAGCCTGGAGCCTGCTTCAAATTCTGTGTCTCCTTCTCCCTCTCCACCCCTCCCCCACTCACTCTCTCGCTCTCAAAAATAAACATTAGAAAAAAATTTGTAATATATATAACTTTAACTTACCCTTCATGCTACTAAAATTTTTGTTCATTTATGGTTTAAAAAATTTTTTAAACTGCTGTTTTCAAAAGTCACTGTGAAAATTTTCCTAACACACTTAACTAAAAGTTCATGCCTGAGAAGCAGAAACAGAATCTCTGCGCTCAGAGCGCCCCGGCCAGTGACTGGGCCACTCTTCCAGCACCTTCCGGTTCTTGGGAAAAGACATGGGCTTTTCTCGCCAAACCAGCAGGAATCTGTACAGTCTGTTTCACTTGTTTTAATTTTGTTCCAGGTTGAAAAGCTGAAGCCAATGGTCTCCAATTTAAGGTTGTACCTGTAAGACCCAGCCCTAATTTTATTTTATTTTTTTACAGTTCTCTTTACATAACACACCCAAAGTATAGGAGTATTGTACAGATGAGCTAATAAGCTCCTCTAACACAACAGAAGAATATCTAACATGTGCAAAGCAGAATGCAGGGAGACACTCAGTTCTGTGCTCGTGACAGGTAATTTTCATATAGGCTACAATTCATTCCAAACCACACATGGTTGCTCACACGTGTGTTCAGACTACCGTTAAGCAATGAAAGTTCCTATGATAAATGTATTCTATGCACTGCTCTCAGGCCAGGCCCGTATGACTACTGAGTGCATGAAATGTGGCTAGTCGAACTGAATTTTTAATTATTTTTTAAATTAATGCTTAAATGAATTTAAATCTAAATTTACACAGCTACGTCATTAGGTATCAAAGCCCTAGAGATATGGCCTTGCAATTTTTGGGCATAGAATAATGTAGAGTTTGAAGAGCACACTCAGCACTACCAAAATATTTTCTCTGCCAGGCATTTTATATTTTTATACACACACACACACACACACACACACACACACTGAAACCTTGAATCGCAAGTAACTTGCTGTGCGAGTATTCTGCAAGACAAGCAAACATTTCTAATAAATTTTAACTTGATAAACGAGCAACGTCTTGCAATACAAGTCCTATCAGATGCCAAATGTCACATGATCACAACCAAGTCAATGGTTCCTGAAACTTGCTTTGATGTATGAGTGCTCTGGGCTACAAGCATGTTTTCCAAACAAATTATGCTCATAAACCGAGGTTCTACTACATAAAAACAATTTATGTATACAGATACATAAATATATATGTATACACACACACACACACACACACACATAGTAAAACCTTGGCATATGTGTAATTATGTATACTGGCCCTAATTTTCAATCCAGCATTTTCTCTCACAGCCTAATCTAACTACACTCCATACTTCCACTCTTAGGAACTAGAAGAAATGGGATTCTGGCATCCTGGATTTAGCCTACAGCTCCATTCCAGAACCCTACCAGCTCCTCAAATCCACTTTCCCAAGGGCTCCAGGCTGAAGGGAGACTTTGGAAACACCATTTTCTACTCCAAAAATGCTACTCAGAACCTCAGAGACCCTGTACCAATGCTTCTCAGGCACTCAGCTTAAGAGGTAATTAAAACACAATAATCGTTGAACAAACAAGTGAATACCAGCACTGTATTTCGTGTAACGTGTGGCCCACACAAGCCAACGTGGAGGGAACCCCTTGCCAAGAAGTCCCTGCCCTCCAGGTAAGGGTGTCTGGCAAGCGCACCTGTGCTCCGTGAGAACGTTCACTGCAGACGGGTGGTTGGCACAATATGCAAGGTACAAGGTTTTCATCTGTGGCATCAGATTTAAAAAGCATCCTCCAACTCTCTGCTGAGCTTCTGGCAACCTAGAGATACACAACACAAAGGAAATAATCCTAAGTTTCATAGAAAGAAAATTGCCAAGTAATGAACACAAAATCTGAGACCTCCTTGTAGACCACCTCCGTGAAAACAAAATCTACAAATCCCAGAACCTAAGTGTTCACACCAGCAGTCCAGCAGGGAGAGGCATCTACCTCGAAAGCGGCTCTGCTAGGAAGCACCAAACTAACGCCCTTCCTTTTCTCCAGCATCCAGCCGCCACAACCCACCTGCGCACAGCACAGCCAAAACGCCACAAGGCCGACTTTGGATGGTGAGAGAAATGCAGATCATGAACCTTTAAGTTTTGTACAAAAGGAGAATTATAAAACATGACTACTTGTTGGCAAGGTTTCTACTTAAGCAGCATCAAGACACGTGCATGCGCGTGCGCACACACACACTACAGCCCGCCTTCCCTTCAGGTAAAAGCTAGAGAAGAGCACAGCCACAGACCCATCTCCTCCCAGGTCTAGGCCAGGGCAGTTGCTGAGCCTGGAAAGGCCGTGAGCTCACAGTAACAGGAAGAACAGAAAGCGATGATCAGCACCACCAGTGGAAGCAGAAACGCGCACGTGGGGCCGTCCTAACCAGACAGGCACGGCCAACTCCAAGATGGAGGCCAAGCCCTCAGCTGGGTGCAATTATCTACAACATTCCACCTCCGGCTACAGCCTCACCATTCCTATCAAACGGACTTCTCCCTCCTGCAGATACACAAACCTTGAACAAAATATAAAACCAACCTCTGCAGGTGGTAGAGCACCAGGGAGGAAGATTCTGGAGACGGCTGGCATTTGGAGAAGGAAAGGACAGGGTGTGTCTCCGGTTCTCTGTACCTCGGGGCCAATGGCGGCCGAGGCTGGCTTGCGTAGGGCAGCTAAACCCCAAGAGAAAACCACAGGATCTGGCTGAACGTGAGCTGATGGGACGCGGGCGGAGGGGACGACGACACCTCGGACAGTGAACCTGAGCTCTGCTCCGATCTGAGGACTTTCAGAACACTCACGATCAAAGCTAAGGGGAAAGGTTGATCAGGAAAGCTCATCTCCGACCCTCTGCTCTCCTGTTCCACCATGGCAAATCCAAAATCTCATGCCAACGCACCGTGCCCTTGAGGAACTCAACCGAAACAACACCTAAGTCCTACTGAGTAAAGAGCCAACACAGGCCTGACTGAGTGCTGGACTCTCAGCTCATGTTCCCTCCCTGAATTTCAGCATTCAGAGCCGTACATCTGCGGTGCAGACGGGGAGATTCACGTGCTTTCACAAGCCTGAGGGGAGGCCCAGAAGAGGCGCCACAAACGTACTGTAAAAATATGAACTCCTTCAGTCCAAGTTCTCGACAGCCGGTGGGGGAAGCAGGGGCAAACGCCGACTTCCACTTGCACACCCTGGGGCTGGCCTCCTGCAAAGACCCCAAACTGAGGGCCAATCACCTTCATTTACCAAAAGGAAAACAGTGATTGCCAAACTCCTCTCTTCATGGCCACCTAAGTCAGGCCACTCACATGAACCAAACCGCCCGAGGAGGAAGCAACGTGAATTTGTCTGAAGGCCAGCACTCACTCTGCGCTTCCCCTGCACACCTTCCAGGATGAAGGGCCTGGAGGGGCCTAGAACCTACTCCGAGCACAGCCAGCTGTGCGCCTGGGGCCCAGGGGGCAGAGCACCCCTCGCCACTTCCCAGACTAAGACAAGAAACTACAGGAAGGACAAACCAGAGACCAACCAGATCCCAAGAGAAAAAGTTACCTCATCCTTCTGTCGGCTAAAGAAATAGAAATTGCAATAACAAGTGCCCCCCTCTTGCATCAAGTCCACAGGTAAATAAACCTCAAATGTCACATGGTGACCTACAACCTACAAAGTTCTCACATATGTCAAGACTTCAAGTCCTCCAACACCCAGCAGGCACTTAGTCAACTAAGTGAACTACGCTACTGAGATCAGTAAACTGACCCTAACCCTTAAACGTCTCACGTTAACCAAGAACAAAAGAGTCACACAGGAAAAAAAAAAAGCCAATCTGGTGGCCAATCAATTCAGAACATGCCTCCCCACCCCAAAAACACCTTGGAAAGAAAACCAAGCCGGGTACGTGCGGGCAGCACGTTCCAGACACCGCATTTCACTATCCTTGGCTTCCGGGCGGCCAGGAGCTACCCGCGCACAGAGCCTCTTCCTCCTCAGGCTCCTCACCCCTGCCTCCCCCATCCACCCAACACCGTAAACTTCGCTGCTCCCGGCAAGACGCTCTCCTTTCTCATCAGGAGACCTCGCCTTCAAAGACCCCAACTAGAAAAACCAGATGTCAGAAACACAGCTTCTACTAGAAGGGTTGATAACCCAAAAGATTCAAAATAACAGTTTCCATCTTTGGAAATAGGAGTTCTAGAATCAGATCAAAGCACATTCTATACCTACCCGTTGTACTAATCTGAATTTCACAGATTTTTAGCGTCGGACTTACTTGGTGCATTCTTCTAAAGACTGTACAAGCATTTGCTGGAAAGAACATATCTCTTCTAGATTTCCCATTAAATATGAAATGTTTGCTGAACTTAACCTAGAGCCAAGGAAAAGAACAGTGAGACTATTATGTACCGTGTCACTCTCCTGTCTCACCCCAGGGCCCTGTTTGAGTCTCTGACCCGCTAAAATCCTTCCTTCCAGAGCAAACTGGTACAGTGGGTTCCATTCCACCCTCCATTCTGTGGAAACCTGAGCAAACAGCCTAGGCAATGACAATGCTGCAATTAACACAGTTTATCGTCCAACTTACTTCTCGCTGGTCTGCAAAGGCCGCAGGTAGGTAGAAAGCACAGTCTGAAGTTCTTTAGCATACTCATTTTCAGTTTCCAAAATATTCTGTAGCACCTACAACAAATGGTGAACAGCATTATTCGCCACTAAAACTCATGAGCTTTGACAAGTGCATCAGCATCATTCACTTTACAGGTCGCTTCTGCATTAATACTAGTGTGCTTAATATCATCACTTCCTGTGACTTAACTACCAAAACCCACGTACCAAATTCTTACTATAGCTACGTAACAGACTTCATCTCATTGCCACACACATAACACAGGCACACCTAGAACGAGGCTGGGAGCGCCAGGGTGGCCCAGTCAGTTGAGCATGTGACTCCTGATTTCGACTCAGCTCATGATCTCACGGTTCACTGGATTGAAGAGCTTCAGACTCCATGCTGAGTATGGAGCCTGCTTGGGACTCTCTTCGCCTCTCTCTTTCCCTCCTCCCACCTCAAAATAAACTTTAAACAAAATGAAGAATGAAGGGGGGCACCTGGGTGGCTCAGTCAGTTGAGCATTGGACTTTGGCTCGGGTCATGATCTGACCCGATCATGGTAGGTTCAAGCCCCGCCATGTCAGCTCTGCTGACAGCTCAGAGCCTGGAGTGTGCCTCAGATTCTGTGTCTCCTTCTCTGCCCCTTCCCCATTCATGCTCTCTCTCAGTCTCTCAAAAATGAATAACCGTCAAAAAATTTTAATTAAAAAAAAAAAAAAGAGTGAGGCTGGAACCAACTCCATCATCAGAAAGTACTGCAGTACTGCCCCATCTGTTCAGATGCAAAGAAGAAACCACTGGTAACCACAACAGCAAGGACACAAGGATCAATCTCTGACACTGCGTCGTGCATAAGCAGCCAGCCACTCACAAAAAGGATACCCTGCACATCCTACTTATAGTAAGTCCAAGAACAGACAAAACTAATCTAGGAGGGCAGAAATCAGAAGGAGGGAGAAGTGACAATGGGGAAAGGGGCCAAAGTTTCCAGGGTGATGGACATGTTCTATATTGTAATTTGAGTAGTTGTTATAGACCTTGTCCAAGCTCCACGAACTGTACAGTTAAGATCCATGTATTTTAACATATGTAAAATATATTTCAACTAAAAACATCTAGTTTTCTCTTCAGATTGCACCTAGCAAATCTAAATCAATTTCATTAGAGAACAGTCTCAGATCTTATACACATTTATTAAATATCAAAGGTCCACCAGTAGAAAATCCTTAAGAAGCCACTACTTTAAAGACAGAACAATGATGAATCAATCTTAAAATGTTTCCTGATACCCTAAAGTTAGTACAGCAAATTCAATGAAAACAACTTTATAATTCCTAAAAACAGGTTTTTAAAAAATACAAAACAGCTGGGCTGAAAAATACGCCTCAGGTCACCTGCGTGGCTCCATCAGTTGAGGGTCCAGCTCCTGATCTCAGCTCAGGTCATGATGTCAGGGTTGTGGGATCGAGCCCTGTATCAGGAGGTCTGTGCTGAACATAGGGCCTGCTCGGGACTCTCTCCTCCTTCCCCCCGCTTCTGCCCTTCTCCCCAACTTGTCCTCTAACGATACAAATGTTATCTATGAAAAATAAAAAATATGCCTCTTGGCATCAGTAACTGCCAAGAGCAAAGGCCCTCCCCAGGCAGGGTGGGAAGGTGCCTGGATGAGAGCAGGCAGGAGACTCCTCACCGAGGCCAAGCACACCCCCGGAGCCCAGCAAGGGCTAGCATCTCTAATCCTCAAAGTCTTCCTCTTGAAGAGACGAAGATTCAAGTGGAGAGGGTAAGTATCCTCCCAAATCAGACAGCCAGCCAAGAGCGGGGCTGGCGTGTGCATCTTGATCTGTGGCCGCACGGCCCCCTCACCGCCTCTCCGGCTGCCAGGCCGAGGGCAGTGGGACTTGACAGGAGCGAGGAACGTAACCCCTTCCTCAACCACTTTCCATCCCCCTCTGGCCACAGACCAGCACCTTCTTTCCTCAGAAAATCACGTCACACATATCTTCTGAGCATCCACTAGAGTCCTACAAACGCGTGATTTCATCTTCCAAAACAAGTTGCCTAGGTCCTGCAGAAAAGCCGTGTAGAATAAAGACAAACGTGGTCCGGCTTCCCCCCAATTTGGTAATTAAAATACGTGCTTAAACAGGTAGAAGTGATCAGTAAGCCCAGTTTAGATTTCCACACTAGTAACACACACCACGGATTCTCCACCTGTTCGGTATGTTTTCTGTGCGCTGACCAAAGAGCATGGTCCCTCACGAGGAAACGCAAACCCGAGTGAGTAACCTCCACGCTATGCTGTGTGCGATGAAGACAATCGGCTGCTTTCACTGAGACTCGGGCTCTGGTTTCGCCCCTGAATGGGTCTATTCATGCAGGAGTGGGGGAGCGGGCCACAGGGAGGGGGCGGCGCTCCAGGAGCTCATGCCTTTGTGGGGAAATCTGGGTGTCGATCCCAGGATTACAATGTCTTCCTTCGAAGAAATGGTCATTGGGCACGAATGTCAAAGGAACAGTGGGCAGAGAACATACTGTGACACCAGCCACTGTAGCAGAAAATCAGACTTTCAACCAGATCTTGTCCTTCTAAAGTGACATGAAGTCAACCAAGTAGACTATTCCTTGAACTAAAACAAAAACTCTGTCACAGTAAAGATGAAAAGTCTTCAGTGTTCCAACAAAAATTAAATGAGGATCTCATGTCAGGAATACAAACACTACAAAGCAGCAGCAGAGCACATGTGAAAACCTGCACACCTTTTATAGGAGGAGGGAGACAAGTGCAAGAACACCTCCCCAGCGTGTGACGATAGTAAGACCGCATTTCCCCCATCACAGCACCAAGCACAGTATGCGGATATAGAAGCCTCCCGTAAGAATGTACCAGAAACAATGCCAAAGAAACCTCTGCCAAAAAGTGACATCAAGGCAGTCAAGTTAGTTAATGTCAACCACCAGTTAGAAACATGCTCTTCCAGTGTGCGCTAAGGACAAGTTCTGTAATCCTCCCGTCCCAACACTCCCCGTCCATCACACTCAGCTGTCCCACCAAACACTTGCCCCAGACCAGACAGGGTTGACCTGACCGAGTCCCGCTGACGCCAGGAGCCACCCCCTCCCCGCCCCCTCCCCAGCTCCAGAGCACCTGTCTCCCCCTCCGGGACTTGCGCGCGCTCTGGCTGCTGCAGGACCCCATGTGACTCCCCCGCCAGGCTCCAGCGCTCCATGCCACGAAGGCCGGTCCCACACGTCTCACAGCAGAGCAGCCTCTGCTCCACAGCTGGGGAGGGAGGCCAGCCTCCGCCTCAGCGAGCTCTCCCTCAGGCGTGAGGCGTGGAGAGCCCCCGCCAAACAATGGGGCCACACAGGAGGAGGACATCAGGCAAACCACACAGACAATCCCAGAGCTGTCAGCCGTTACAGCAACACAAAACAAAAGGACTGACTTCATTACCCCGCAGACGCACAGAAACTCACTTCATTACCACCATTAAAGGAGCGCTCAGTATCGCAGATTTTACACGGGAGTTGCAAATTTCACCGCAAATTTTGGTAGGTTTCATATTTTAGGTCATTGAATCTTTTAAAAATAACTTATTTACATATAAGAAGAAACAAGTTTTCTTAGAGATTTGATGAAGATGGAAAGATCATCATTAACTAAAACCCAACTTTTAGAAACAACTTTGGTTTGGTCCTAAGCACGCCCTTGAAACAGTAACAGATTCAGACAACAGGAAATAAGCCACCCGCCCCTCCCTACACAAGGGAAAAATCATCCTTGCACGTTTCCTTTCAACCCAGTCTACTTAAACTGTACTTACATTCTCAGAACACAGATTCGAAGACCAGACTTGAGCCTCTGGGGAATAACAGGAAGGAACAGCCTGCCCTCACTGCTGCAGGAAGCAGTTCCAAACC